AAAAAACTGTTTTTTGATAAGTAGATAAAATAAGCACTTATGTCAACCCTGAAAAAGAAGACGAGAATTATTCTTCTCTTCTTATTCAGGGTTGACATAAGTCAGCGAAGTCAGGGAAAAATCAGGAAAAGTAGAATTAATTTCAAGAAATAATTGAATTTTAAAAAGGTTTCATATTAAAATCTTTGAATATTTGAATTTTCCATTTTTAATTTTCAAAATTTCCCGAGAAATCAATGATTTAAATACAAAAATAAATATTTCATTCAATAATTATATGCTTAAAATTTAATTTTCATGAAGAATTTTAGCAAAATTTTTAATAACAATTGAATTCTTTCGGCGAATTTAAAAAAAAAATTGTAAAAATAAATGCAATTTTCTATTATTTTATTTAAATTATTTATTTATGAAAATAATTGAATTCTTCAAACGAATTTAGAAAAAATTTTTTTTTTTAAGAATTGAATTCCTGTGAAGAATTTTATTTGTAGAAATAATTGAATTCCGGAGAAAAATATTTGGTATTATTTCTGAAAATAATTAATTTTTTATGAAGAATTTTATTCAATTTTTTTTAAATAATTGAATTTTTCAGAATTTTTTAAAACTTCTGAAAATAATTAAATTCTATCTAGAAATTTCATTTAAAAAAATTGAAAATAATTGAAATCTGATAAAGAATTAAAACAAATTTATTTTTAATAATTGAATTCCTGTGAAAATGTTTATTTTTTGAAAAGAATTGAATTCTTGTAAAGAATTTTATTAAAATTTCTTAAATAATTGAATTGCTTCAAAGAATTTTTATTTTTTACCGAAAATAATTGAATTTTTTCGAAAATTTTTATAAACATTTTTGACAATAATTGTATTCCTAGAAAGAATGTTGTATTTTACAAAAATAATTGTATTCTACGTTCAATTTTATTATAATTTTTGAAATTCATAAAGTATTCTATCAACATTTTTTAAAATAATTGAATTCTCAAGAAAAATTTTATTATTTATGAAAATAATTGAATTCTTGCGAGAAATTTTATTCAAATTTTTTTACAATAATTGAATTACTTCGAAAAATGTTGTTATTTATGAAAATAATTGAATTCTTGACAAAAATTTTATATTAATTTATGAAAATAATTGAATTCTTCTACAGAATAAGTTAAAAATTTGAAAATAATAATTCACTTCTTCAGAAGAATTTTGAAACCTATTTATAAAAATAACTTAATTCTTAAAAAGAATTTTTCAAAAATTATGAAAATAATTTAATTTCTGCAAAGTATTTTGTTACCTTTCAAAAGAATTGAAATTTCGTGATGAATTTTGTTATTTATCAAAATAATTGAAATTTGGAAAAGAATTTTATTAAAATTCCCTAAAATAATTGTTTTTTTGGAAAGAATTTTTTTGTTTATCAAGATAATTTAATTCTTTTGCAGAATTTTATTATTTATGAAAATAATTGATTTCTAGCGAGGAATTTTATTCAAATTTTTTTAAATAATTGAATTCCCATAAAAAATGTATTATCTGTGAAAGTAATTGAATTCTTAAGAAGAATTGTATCAAAAATAATTGAATTGTATAGGAAAATTTTATTAACTAAATCTTATAAAGAATTTTGTCAAATTTTTTTAATATAATAGAACTTTTTAAATAATTTTATTTAAATTTTTCGAAATAATTGAATCACTCAGAACTATTTTTTTCAATTCTCTGAATATATTTGAAATTCTTTGGAGAAACTTTATTAAAAAATTGAAAATAATTGAATTAGTGCGAAGAAAAGTTTAAAAAATTATTAAGTAATTGAATTCCTGTTAAATTTTTATCAAAATTTTTAATAATAATTGAATTCTTTTGGAAAAATTTATTAAAATAGTAGATGATAAAAATAATTGAAATGTGGAAAATTTTTAAAAATAATTGAATTTCTGCGAAGAATTTTATTACTTTTGAAAATAATTGAATTTCAGAGAAGAATTTTTGTATTATTTATAAAGATAATTGAAATTTTGACGAGAATTTTCAAACTTTTCTGAACATAATTGAATTTATGGGAAGAATTTTATTACATTTGAAAATAATTGAATTTCCGTAATCAATTCTTAAAATTTCTATTTTAATTCTTTAAAAGTTGACATTTTCTGAAATTTCAAATTGAAACCTTTGAAGTTCATCTATTTATGAAGATTGTAAACGCAACTATTTTGAACTCGAATTAATTTTGAAATTTTTAAGTAAAATTATTCATTAAATAATTCATAAGTAATTATTTTATGATAGTTCTTCAAGAATGAAGTTATTTAAAAAGAAATTATTGTCAGAAGTAGAAAAAATTGAAGGGTTTGTATTAGAATTCTTGTCAGTTTCATAGTTATTATGAGATAAACAAAAAAGACACCAAATTTCAGAATTTTCTTCTAAATTCTAAGAATTAAATTTTTTCCAGTACTGTTACTAAAAATCCCTGACTTTTTCCTGACTTCCCTTGCCAATTCTAATTTCCCTGACTTTTCCCTGACTTCCCTGACCAATTCTAATTTCCCTAACTTTTCCCTGACTTCCCTGACCAATTCTAATTTCCCTGACTTTTCCCTGAATTCCCTGACTTGTGGCAAACCCTGTAATTGCCTGTAATGTTGTGAACGAAATTTGTTTCTGAAAACAGGATTTTCGAATACAATAATACGGCTTGTAAGTTGTAAATGATAAATACAGATTGTGAATAATAGAAATTGTGAATAATAATAAATCCATAGTAATGTCATCCATTTGGACGATATAAAAACCCCACGTGACTCCAGAAAGCTTGACCTAATTGCAAGAAATCCTTGATGCTCCGCAAGAGGACCTTGTGACACTTCGTTGCGCTCTTAAATCGCTTATAATAATAACTCGACATCCTAAAGTACCATGTTCATTATTTCTCTTCTTGCTCGCAGTCACTTCACCTGCACCTAAAGAAATCACTCCATTAGAAAAAGGCACAACTTTATTTCTTTCTATTCCATTATTTAATATCTCGAGACTTATTTCGGTGAATGAATTTCGATCGATTCCACTATATATATGAGAGTTTGACGCAATTTTTATTTCCGAATGATGATCCGATTGGAAGTATAGAGAGAGAAAAAATATACAATACATTATAAATATATTCAACCTCCGTGTGGAATGAGTCTTTTGTTAAAAAATAATTGCCCATAAAATTGTTACGTTTTGTTGGCAATTATTGTGCGCGGCTACGGAAACAATTCTTTGTATATTTATTTGTAAATAAAGCGTTACATGATTTTTTTTTGGATTTCCTAAAAATTTTGTAGTACTGTAAATCAATTTCCGTTTATCGTTGTATACTGCCCAACGGGAAGTTGCCAATGTTAACGATTGGTTCAATAATGGGCCATGCTTGGTACCCAATGGTTTTTTCTTGGCAAAACAATTGGCAACCATCATTGGACCACCAATGGTTTAAACTTGGGATGATCACGCTACTGCCAATGATCGGTAGCCAAGCATCGGGCCAATATTAGTTGCCAAGGAATTGCCAAGGAAACAAAATCGATTTTCAAAAGCTTGATTTTTTATTGGCAGCCAACAAAAAACAAAGGTTTTGAAAATTGATTTTTTTTAATTATTAATTAAAATTTATTTTTAAAAAATATATTTTTCAAAAATTTATTTTAAAAAAATATATTTTTTAAAAATATATATTTTTTTAAATTAATAGAACATATTAATTTAATTTGTCACCTCTGGTAAAACAAAGATGAAAGACTGATAAATTCCCTCACTTTATATTTTACAGTGGAGGGATGACTGTGAATGTCTTTGCGAGAGAGGAGCAGGTACTTATATAGAGCCAGTGAGAAAGGTCACAAGCGAGAAGAAATCACTAGCATGCACTCTGGCGGCGCTTGTCGGAACTGTTTTCTGGCGCGCATGCATATCCTGACGTTATCGACACAGCGCTTGGCAACCAACGTTGCGCCACTTCCGACAAGCGCCGCCAGAGTGCATGCTAGTGATTTCTTCTCGCTTGTGACCTTTCTCACTGGCTCTATATAAGTACCTGCTCCTCTCTCGCAAAGACATTCACAGTCATCCCTCCACTGTAAAATATAAAGTGAGGGAATTTATCAGTCTTTCATCTTTGTTTTACCAGAGGTGACAAATTAAATTAATATGTTCTATTAATTTAAAAAAATATATATTTTTAAAAAATAAATTTTTGAAAAATATATTTTTTAAAAATAAATTTTAATTAATAATTAAAAAAAACCAATTTTTAAAACCTTGGTTTTTTGTTGGCTGCCAATAAAAAATCAAGCTTTTGAAAATCGATTTTGTTTCCTTGGCAATTCCTTGGCAACTAATATTGGCCCGATGCTTGGCTACCGATCATTGGCAGTAGCGTGATCATCCCAAGTTTAAACCATTGGTGGTCCAATGATGGTTGCCATTAATGTTCCAATAATGGAACGGAGTTCGCCAAGCATGGCCCATTATTGAACCAATCGTTTACTTCCCATTGGGTGGTTGTTGAAATAATTAATTTTCAATTTGGTCTTTTTGCAGTTAAAATTCAAATTTCATCCATGGAAAACAACGATTCTAAATTTGATATGAAAATAAAAAAATCAGAATTTAGGTTAACCTAATAATCTGAAGCCTTATGCCTATCGGAACATTCAACTTGATCTAATGTTATAGGTTATAAGGTTAGCATTTAAACTTTAATGTAAATTATAAATTCGGCATATTTAATTTTCAAGTATTTTTTTTTTAACTTTTAGTAGATTGAGTTTTAGTAGATGAGTATACGAAGCCTGAAATTTTTAAAATTAAACCTCCGTATTCTGTAATAACTGAAAAAGAAAATGTAATATTGCATCAGTTTGTAATTATACTTACATACAAGATATACAAATTATTCCTGACAAAGATGTGAATCGGATTTTTGAAAAATGTTGTTTTTGCTATTGTTTCAGGTGTCCGCGGGACAGCATATGCAGTTGACGGGCGATTTGAAGCCCGGCGTGTCCGTTGCCGCCCAACAGGGAATGTACTTCAGTCAGCAGCAAGCGCAAAATCAAGCAGGTCCAGGTGGACAGAACGATTCCTATTGTACAGTGTCGCAATCGCAAACAATTAATTTCACGCAGCAGAGTCTGAGGCAGAGGGCGGCTGCAGCAGCAGCGGCCGCCGCTGCCGCTGGTGGTGTTCCACAATCGGCTGGTGCACCAGGAGGACCCGGCGGCGCACCGGGAGCGCCAGGAGCGCGGAATCATCCCCAACAGGTGCCTCAAAATCAAGTTGTTGATCAACATCACGCTAAGCTTCTTCAACAACAGCAAATGATGCGCGCTCAACAGGTTTGTCTTTAATTAAATTCTCTATTATTAAAATTAAATCAATTTTTCTGAATTTTATTTATATTTTCACGGTTGGGGGCTGTCCATAAATTACGTAAAACATTTTTTGAAAAATTTGACCCCCCCCTCCCCCCTCGTAAGATATTTTACATACATTAGCGACATTTTTTCTATTGTTCGTAAGCAGGCCTCGGATATTATAACATTTTCGACATTTTTCGACTTATTTTCAAAAATTACGACTGTTTTCGACTATTTTCAAAAAATGCGACTTTTTTCGACTTATTTTCAAAAATTACAACTTTTTCGACTTTTCTTCCGAATATTGCAATGATTTTTAGTATAAAATGCAAATTTTCGAAATTTACAAAATTGAAAAGAGTTTCAATAAATATTGAAATTTTGTCAAATTTAATTGAAAATAATTGATTTTTTTTAAAGTGTTTTATAGAAATTTTTGAAAATCAACTTTTGAAGAATATTAATTGCAAATTTTGAAAATAATTGAAATTGAATTCCTCAGAAGAATGTCATTTTTAAAAAAATTTTTAATATATTTCTAATAAATTCAATTATTTTCTAAAATATTAATAAATCCGTCGAAACAATTCAATTATTTTTATAAATGGCAAAATTCTTCGCAAGAATTCAATTATTTTTATAAATATAGTAAAATTCTTTGCAGGAATTCAATTATTTTCAAAACATTTCGAATTGAATTTCTCGGATGAATTCAAATATTTTCAAATATTTCCATAAAATTCAATTATTTTTTAAAATTTTAATAATTTCTTCAAAATAAAATAATTAATTTCTCATGAAAAATTTTATTCAATTTTTTTTTTTTTTGGAATCTATTTATAAAAATAATTTAATTCTTTAAAAGAATTTTTTAAAAATTATGAAAATAATTTAATTTCTGCAAAGTATTTTGTTACCTTTTAAAAGAATTAAATTCTCGTGATGAATTTTGTTATTTAGCAAAATAATTGAATTTTAGAAAAGAATTTCATTAAAATTCCTTAAAATAATTGACTTTTTGGAAAGAATTTTCTTGTTTATCAAGATAATGGAATTCTGAATTTTGCAGAATTTTATTATTTATGAAAATAATTGAATTCTTGCCAGGAATTTAATAGAAATTTCTTAAAATAATTGAATTCGTTCGAAAAATTTGATTTTTTTTTAAATAATTGAATTCTTGACATGAATTTTATAGAAATTTTTTTAAATAATGGAATTCATTCCGAAAATTTGATTATTTATGAAAATAAATTTATGAAAATAATTGAATTCTTGCCGAGAATTTTATATTTATTTATGAAAATAATTGGATTCTTTTGCAGAATTAGTTAAAAATTTGAAAATAATAATTGACTTCTTTATAATAATTTTGGAACTTATTTATAAAAATAACTTCATTCTTAACAAGAATTTTTCAAAAATTATGATAATAATTGATTTTAGGAAAGAATTTCGTTGTTTATCAAGATAATTGAATTCCTTCAAAAAATTTGATTTTTTATGAAAATAATTGAATTCTTGTCAACAATTTAATAGAAATTTTTCAAAATAATTGAATTTCTTCAAGAAATTTGATTTTTTATGAAAATAATTGAATTCTTATGTCAACAATTTAATAGAAATTTATTAAAATAATTGAATTCCGTCGAATAATTTTATTAAGTATTCATGAAAATAATTGAATTCTTGCCAAGAGTCCAATAGAAATTTTTTAAAATAATTGAATTAAAATTTTTTTTTAATAATAATTTTTTTTTAAATAAATTTTATAAAAATAGTAAACATTGAAACTAATTGAATTGCGAAAAATTATTGAATCTAATTGAAATTTTGCAAAGAATATTATTTAAATTTTTTGAAATTATTAAATTTCTTCGAAGAATTTTATTACTTTTCAAAATAATTGAATTCTTGCGATGAATATTGTTATTTATGAAAATAATTGAATTTTGCAAAGATTTTTATTAAAATTCCTAAAAATAATTGAATTTCTATGAAGAATTTTGTTATTTAACAAGATAATTGCGTTAAAACTTTTGAAATAATTGAACAATATTTAAAAAATCCCTTGTGGTCAGAAATAGAAAAAAAAATTTTTCCAGTACTTTTAATTAAAATTCCTGACTTTTTTTCGGATAATTAATAAACTTGAATAAAAATGTAAAAGATTTAAGAAAAATTGATTCCAGTCTTTGTCCATTCTTTGCCGGTGTCTTTCCCTAGTTCGGAAAATTTATAAAATTGCAAAGAAAATGAAAACATTTCGGAAAAATTGACTCTGCAAATTGTTTTTAAAATAAACACAAAAATTTCAATATTTTGACTTTGTTGGGGATTTTTTTTTAATATTGAATTTGTTAAAATTTCCATGAGGTTCATTTTCTTTTATTATATTTTCAACGAATTGAATGTTTTTATTTATTTATTTTTTTTTGTTTTTTATTTTTATTTAGTTCTTTTTAATTTGAAGAATTTGGTTCAAAGTTTATTTTACAGTTGAATATACGGGGAAAGAAAATGTGTTTATTATTAATTTCTGGGTAAATGAAGTAGGAGTGAATTTATATATATATAAATAAATAAATAAAATTGAAAAAAGAAAAATACTTGGCATTTTGTTTGAGTAATTGTAGTTAGTTAGCGCGATTGAACGGTAGAAGAGTAAAGCAGTTGATAGGATGACGTGCGCTTTGTGCTCGCGCTATTATCGGACAGATTAAATTATCCGTAAATGGTCGTCGAGACGCGTATATGCAACAGGTACTTCCCGTGCTTTGCGATTTTTATTTGCTTATGACGAAAAAATTCAGAGCATATCAGCATAATATTGTATATATGAAAAGAGAATGGCACTTCTCTCAAATAATATCTCGAAAGTGGTCGTATTGCTGGCAAAACAAATTTTGCGATTTAAAAAGAAAATTTTAGTTCATATTTTTTTTCTTTTATTTCTTTTTTACGTACCTATCTATTTTATTTCATAATTTTTGAAAATCAACTTTTCAATTAATTTTATTTGCAAATTTTCAAAATAATCAAGTTTTCAAAAATTTTCATGAAAAATCTTCAAATGTAAATTTTATAAAACCCTTCAATTTTTTCTATTTAATTTCTGACAATAATTTCTTTTTAAATAACTTGATTCTTAAAGAACTATCAACTATAAAATTATTACTTATGAATTATTTAATGAATAATTTTACTTAAAAATTTCAAAATTAATTCGAGTTCAAAATAGTTGTGTTTACAATCTTCATAAATAGATAAACTTCAAAGGTTTCAATTTGAAATTTCAGAAAATGTCAATTTTTAAAGAATTAAAATAGAAATTTTAAGAATTGATTACGGAAATTCAATTATTTTCAAATGTAATAAAATTCTTCCCATAAATTCAATTATGTTCAGAAAAGTTTTAAAATTCTCGTCAAAATTTCAATTATCTTTATAAATAATACAAAAATTCTTCTCTGAAATTCAATTATTTTCAAAAGTAATAAAATTCTTCCCAGAAATTCAATTATTTTTAAAAATTTTCCACATTTCAATTATTTTCAATATCTTCTATTTTAATAAAATTTTCCAAAAGAATTCTATTATTTAAACAAAATTTTAATAAAAATTTAATAGGAATTCAATTACTTAACAATTTTTTATACTTGTCTTCGCACTAATTCAATTATTTTTAATTTTTTAATAAAGTTTCTCCAAAGAATTCAAATATATTCAGAGAATTAAAAAAAATAGTTCTGAGTGATTCAATTATTTCGAAAAATTTAAATAAAATTATTTTAAAAGTTCTATTATATTAAAAAATTTTGACAAAATTCTTTATAAGATTTAGTTAATAAAATTGTCCTATACAATTCAATTATTTTTAATACAATATTCTTCTTAAGAATTCAATTATTTACACAGTTTTTCATTTTTTTAATGGGAATTCAATTATTTAAAAAAATTTTAATAAAATTCCTTGCTAGAAATCAATTATTTTCATAAATAATAAAATTTTTCTTGAGAATTCAATTATTTTAAAAAATTTAAGTAAACGTTTTCGAAAAAATTCAATTATTTTCGGTAAAAACTAAAAATTCTTTCAAGCAATTCAATTATTAAAGAGATTTTTAATAAAATTTTTTCCAAGAATTCAATTCTTTTCAAAAACACACATTTTCAGAGGAATTCAATTATTTTAAAAAGTTTTTATTAAATTCTTGGCAAGAATTCAATTACTTTCATAAATAATAAAATTTTGCAAAAGAATTAAATTATTTTCATAAATAATAAAATTCTGCAAAAGAATTAAATTATCTTGATAAACAAGAAAATTCTTTCCAAAAAGTCAATTATTTTAAGGAATTTTAATGAAATTCTTTTCTAAAATTCAATTATTTTGATAAATAACAAAATTCATAACGAGAATTCAATTCTTTTGAAAGGTAACAAAATACTTTGCAGAAATTAAATTATTTTCATAATTTTTGAAAAATTCTTGTTAAGAATTAAGTTATTTTTATAAATAGGTTCCAAAATTCTTCTGAAGAAGTCAATTATTATTTTCGAATTTTTAACTAATTCTGTAAAAGAATTCAATTATTTTCATAAATTAATATAAAATTCTTAGCAAAAATTTAATTATTTTCATAAATAACATTTTTCGAACGAATTTAATTATTTAAAAAAATTTGAATAAAATTCCTCGCTAAAAATTATTTTCATAAATAATAAAATTTTTCTTGAGAATTCAATTATTTCAAAAAATTTTGATAAAATGCTTTATAAATTTTAAAAATTATAATAAAATGGATCGTAGAATACAATTATTTTTGTAAAATACAACATTCTTCCTAGGAATACAATTATTGTCAAAAATGTTTGTAAAAGTTTTCCAAAAAATTCAATTTTTTTCGTAAAAAATAAAAATTTTTTGAAGCAATTCAATTATTTAAGAAATTTTAATAAAATTCTTTACAAGAATT